TCAGACACACAGGGGGACCCCTAAACACTCACATATCCTCCATCAATAGCTGTCACCACCCCTCACATGCAGACCTCTAAGCCCATGCTGGTCCCCATGACATGCATGCACCCCTAGATACAGGTGGTCCTGTCCCTGTGGGGCTCCAGCTCTGCTCCAGCTTCTTTGCTGAGATGGGTACTTAGCATTTAGCATGAGGTGCTAAGAGATCTGAGGGGGTGGGAGAAATATCATTTTCAGAATTCTAGGGAGCATCGCCCCTCCAGGGTCCCTGTGTCCATGGTTCCTCTGGTCTCTGAGGCTCAGCTGGAAACCTCTAGTCTGCTCGAGGAGAGGGCACAGATGGTGAACTCAGTGGGTTCTGGAGCCATGGTGGCCACTAGCTGGATGTCCAGAGCTGGGTCAAGGGCTAACAAATGCTATTCCAAGTTGCTTTTTCCTTTTGGACTGTTGACATGCAGGGTGTGGTATGTGCTAGGCAAGTCCCATGCTGCTGGTCCCATTCCTTGTCCTCAGTCTTCTTTGAAGGACCTCATAGCACACAACACAAACCTGAGACCATAGATGGCCTGTGGTCAACATGAGACCCTGTTCTGCAAGAAATTTTCATCCAGTTTGAGTGTTTTCCCAGCATGCATGAAGCCTGAATTTCATCCCTCTAACCCCAGGGAAGCAGGCATCGTGGTACACACCTGTAATCCCAGCACTAAGAAGTTCAAAGACATCAACTACACAATGAGTTCAAGGCCAGCCTGATCTACATAGTGAATCCAGGCCAGCCAAGGCTACAAAGTAAGACCCTGTCTCAAAACAACAGCAACAACAACAAAAATGAAAAATTGAAAAAAAAAAACCCTACACAAAATAAACAGAGAGAGACACAAGAGGTGTTGGAGGAGAGAGGTGGCTGAGGAGAAGGTTCACTAGGGAAGGTGTTTACTTATGTGGGCCTGAGTTTGATCCCCAGACCCCACACACCAGCCAGGCCAATCCTGAGGACTTGATGGTTAGGTTAGGCAGCCTTGCCAAATGGGAAGTTCCAGGTTCAGGGAGAGACTGTGTCAAAAGGCAAGCAGGCACCCATAGGTGTGATCATCCACCTGATAAGGCCACTGCTCTGAGCCTGATCCTGCTTCCCTATGGCAGGAGCACTCTAGGCCCTCAGATATGTCCCTCGAGCCTCCACAGTGGCTGTAGAGACAGCTCAAGATTTCCTTCTTTGGTCCACAGAAAGGTCTTCCCTCAGGGAATTGGTCCCCAGAGGCCCAGGCCTCCCTGCTTGGGAAATTAATACATCCATCAGCACTGGGTAGAAGGGACTCAAAAGCCCCAAGACTTTCTAGCTGGAAACCTGATATGAGGTGTGGGGACATCCTGTGTCCTGCTCTGTATGGCTAGAATTGTCAGGGACATCCAGGGGAGGAGTGGATAAACAATGGTTCCCCTTTGGCCGTCAATAACAGATACATAACTGTCTCTGAGAGGTCTGTGTGGAAGGAATGGAAATAACAGCTTGGTCTGGTGGCTTGCTCCTGTCATCCAGCAATTTGAGGATGGCCTGGGCTGCCTAAGAGCCTATCTAAAAACGAAAGAAAAATGGGAGACAGAGGCAAGTGACTGTGAGAGTGGCTTTGACAGAGGGTCCAGGAAAGCCATCTGAGGAGGGGCCTTGAGGACAGGCGGATGCCATCCAGGTAAGGACAAAGGTCCTGAAGAGGGAGGCTGATACTGAAGCCTGCTCCTCACTAGGACACCTGGGTGCCTTGCCATGTGCCCTGGGGGAAAGCCCATTCTGTCAGGCTTGGACAGGTGAATGAGGGTTGCAGACAATGAAGAGCAGAGAGCAGAGCACTATGGGATGGGTTAGGTTGATTCAGAGTTCTTGGACTTTAGTGGCTGTGGTGGGAAGAAGGATTTTGGGGCAGGAACCCTGGATGGCACACAACACAAAGCCTAAACCACCAGGGTATCGGGTTGGGAAAGATAAGACAAACTTGAGTCCGCAGCTGAGTCCACACCAGGTCTTAACCACCACTTTTGCCTCCTTCTCATCTCTCACCTTGACCTGGAGTCAACTAAGATCTAAAAGAGGGTGAGTCAGAGGTGAGTGGCCTCTTCCCCACCCTTCTTCTTAGAAACAGTTTACAAGCCGGGCATTGGTGGTGCACAACTTTAATCCCAGCACTTAGGCAGCAGAGGCAGGCAGATCTTTGTGAGTTCGAGGCCAGCCTGGTCTATAGAGCTAGTTCCAGGACAGGCTCCAAAGCAATACAGAGAAACCCTGTCTTGAAAAACAAAAACAAAACAAACAAACAAACAAAACAACAACAAAAAACAGCTTACAATATCTATTGATTGAGCACCTAACATTTACCCAAGCCACTGACACAGGACCCACCTCACACAAACAGCCCAGCTACTGAGAGACAAGGGTCCTCCTAATCAGAGGAAGTGGGCTTCCCCAGGGCTGGATGGCAAGACTCCCAGATTCCCAATTAAGAACAGGCTTGGGTTGAAGCATCAGGTGGCCACACTCCAAACTGGAAAGTGGGCTTGCTATTGTCATCCTGAAACCAAAATCCAGGTCTCAGGACAGATACACATGTTCCTGGCAAAGCCGGGTATGGTGGTATATACCTGTCATCCTAGCTCTGAAATGCAGAAAGATCGAGAGTTTAAGGTCATCCTTAACTAAGCACCAACTTTGAGGCCAGCCTGAGAAACAGGAAGATTGTCTCAAACAAACAAAACAACAAGCCAGGAAGCCAGCCAGGCATTGGTGGCCAATGCCTTTAATTCCAACACTCAGGAGGCAGAAACTGGTAGATTTCTGTGAGCTTGAAGCCAGCCTGGTCTACAGAGTGAGTTCCAGGACAGGCAGGACTGCACAGACAAACCCTGTCTCAGAAAACCAACAAAACCAAACCAAACCCCAAAAAGCCAAGTTTGGGTTTAACTTGCCTTGCTGTGGTCAAATAGGTAGACAGAGCTCAGAGAAGAGCAGCTCCTTACAAGGGTGGGTGACAAAGGCTAGGTCCCCCTGCTATAACTTCTGTTCTCTCAAGGGCCTGGGGATGGCCTTGTGCCCCATCTTTCTCCAGGGGCTTTGAGTGTCCCCACCTGGCCTTAGGATCCTCTCCTCTGAAATCCAGCACCATAAGGTGCCTGGTGTGCACCTGTCACTGAGGAGGTGGGAGCAGAAACATCAGGGGTTCAAGGCTGGCCTGGGCAGGCCATACCATGGCTCAAAGGACAAATTCTTGTGATGAAGAGATACTCTGCAGTTCAGAGTGTTTGCTGCTCTAGCAGAGGGACCAAATTTGGTTCCCAGCACCCACAGCAAGTGGCTCACTCCAGCTTCTGGGGACCCAATCCAGCTGTTCAGAGATATCCTCTCCCTGCCCTATACATAGTAATTAAAAAAGTATAAAAGTAAACCCTTAAAACAACAAAAAGAGAGGAATCCAAACCAGCTTTCAGATGGCCCCCAGCCTTAGGTGTCCCCAAATTCTGTCCCCTTCAGGACAGGTTTTGTTCATCTCTTCAGGGATGTGGGTGAGAGAGCCAGTCTGGAGGGAGCAAGTCCACCTTTTCAGAAGCCCTGCAACCTTCGCAAGCAAACCAATAACACTGATCCTTCTAAATTGAAGTGGGTGCCCTATCCCCATCTCCAATACCTGGGATTGATCTTGCACACGTTCCTGGGTGATCTCAGATCCTCACTGGTGGATTTTAGTCAAGTGTTCTCCCTAGCCCCTGTTCATTGGGGCTCTTTTGAACCTGGGTTTGTTTATATCAACAGTCAGAGTTCCTGACCCCAGTCCCATAGGGTCACAGTCCTCAACTTTCCCAGTAAGGACTCCCAGGCAGGTGGAGGGCCTGTCTGACCTGTCTGCACCTAAGGCTAGGGATGGGGTCACCTAGGGCTAGGGCTAGGAATGGAGACTGAGAAACAGGGAACTGTCTCAGAGGTCTGTGAGTTGTTCCTAATGCAGTTTCCAAGGAAGACACAGGCATGGGTCAGGGGGTGACCCCTTCATCTTGTTTTCTGCGCCCATGTACACTTCTGAAGGAAAAGATGGGCAATGGATGTGTACACCATAGGTCCTGCCGCAGACCTCACCTTCTGTGCCTTTGAGTCCAAGCCTTTACTGCTGCAGCAGCTCTAATCTGTGTTCCCGCCCGGCCTCAGCTCAGAGATAACTCCATCACAGAACCAACCTGAACCAAACTTCAAATACAGCCTCATGTAGGGACACCTCTATGACCTCACATTTTGGAAACTGAAGTAGGAGGACTGATGATAGCTCGAGGCTAGCCTGGGCTACCTCAACCTCTCAATCCCCCTCTACCCAAAACAAAGAAAGTCACAAACACAGCCATCAGTGGGGACACATGTGTGACCGTGGCTCTTGGGAGACCAAAGATGGATTGCAATGACTTCTAGGTCAGCCTGAGATACGGGGTGTTTGTTTGTTTTTTGCCAAGGTCTCACTATATAGCTTTGTCTGGTTTAGGGATTACTATGTAGACCAAGCTGGCCTGGAAAGGTCTGCCTGTTTCTGCCTTACTGGGATTAAATCATGCACCACCAAGCATGGCTACATAGACTTCTAGACCAACCTGGGCTATCGAATGAGTTAATCTCCTAAACACTCAAAGAAATCCTCAAAACAATGGAGTGTGGTCACACTTGAGATTCCAGCATTTGAACACCCAAGGAAGGAAGGTTTCAGGCTGGCCTGAGCTACATTGTGAATTCCAGACTAGCCTGGACTGTAGAGTAAGACCCTGTTTCAAACTCCCTCTCCCTCCAACGCTTGTGATCCCAGCACTCTGGAGACTGAGGCTGGCCCTGGCTAATAATTTTCAGACTAGCTTGGACTAGACCACCGAGACCCTCCTCAACAAACACTCCTGAAGCCCAGGCCCCCTACCCCCTTAGGCAACGCATTCACACACCGCCTTCTGCATCCACCCGCGCTCAGAGTCGTGCACACCTGGGCAGTCCCGGGGTCCGTCCTGCCGCAGACCTCACCTTCTGTGCCTGCGAGTTCAAGCGTGTACTGCTGCAGCAGCTCTGATCTGTGTTCCCGCCCGGCCTCAGACACCTTCCCGCGCAGCCCCGCCCCCGAGAGGTGATTGGATGGAGGTGGGACTCATTTGCATAAAGGCAGATGTTTAGGCGTGTCCTGTCTCCCAAGCCCTCAGAACTCAGTCCAGAGATGAAGTTGGGATCTAAAGTCAGAAAGAATAGGAAAACAGGGCTTGGAGGTGCATGCCTAATATCCCAGTATTCGGGAGGCTAAGGCAGGAGGATTGAAGTCTACAGAGAGTTCCAGGACACCTAGGGCTTTATAGAGAATCCCTGTCTGGAATTAAAACAAACAAACAAAAAACCCCCCAAAAAATCAGAAACAAACAAACAAAAAAACAACAAAAGAAAGAGGAGGTTGGAGAGAAAACTCAGTGGTTGAAAGCAGTTAGTGCTCAATTCCCAGCAACCACATGGCAGCTCACAACTGCTGGCAAAACACAAATGCACATAAAATAAAAATAAAAAAATAATTAAAAATAAAGAAAATGAGGTCGGGGCCCAGTCAAAACCAGTAAACATAATGCAGAGTTGACTCTCCAGTGCTTGAAGGGCGGAAGGGAGGAGTTCCAGTTGTTGTCTGATGTCCCTAGGCCATGGCACACACCCTGCTCCCTACATTCATACAAAAGTAAATATGAGTTTTAAAAATTCAGGCAAGGCTGCATGCAAACAACTGGGTTTCTCCTTGAGGATTCAGTGCTCCTGGACCTCAATGCCACCCTGACATTAATTCGGACATATTACACCTTAATAGGGGTGAAGTAGAGCTACCAGCTGGTTTGGTGACAGCCTGTCCTGCCAGCTACTGCAGCTGGCTGGAATATGATAAGTGTTTGGCCAGTGTGGGATACATACACAGAAATCAAGGACATCCTGGGCAATTCGGAGGATCTACCTCTAAATAAAGAAATAAGTTGGCCTGGGATGGGGTGGGGTGGGGGGCTCAAGTCTGTTACCCCAGGTACTCAGGAGTCTGAGACAGGAGGATGGTGGGTATGGCCAACCTGGATGACTTAACACCCTAGCTCAAAATGAATCTATAAATAAATAAGAGATGAGAATGTGGTAGAGTTCCTGCCTAACATGCAGAAAGTTACCTTTCATTTCCAACCCTGAAAGGAAAAATGCTAATGCAACATTAGGATTAAGGAGAGGCAAGAGGGTTGCTTCAAGTTCCAGAGCAGTCTAGGCTGCTGATTGAGACTGTCCAATATATAAATAAAAGAATTCTTAGAGCCTGATTCTGCTGGCAAACTAGACCAAATCAGCCTTTAATGTTGGCTCAGAGCCTTCTGAAACTGGAACCACTTCTTGGGGGGCTGGGATCCCCAGTGTAGTCCTACCCAGCTGTGCCTCCTGCCAGTATCCTCATATACTTCACTGGGCCCTGCTGACCTTACTCTTTGGTCCTACACCACCATGCCCATCTCAACTCACCTCTGGCTTTGCAGAGGGAAGGTCACAGTGTGGGGCCTTCTAGGACTCCCACCCACCGTCATCATCATCCTGCACAAGGTCAGGGCCAGAAGAAGATCCAAGCCAGGAGCACTTGAGGTGAACATCAAAGGGAAAAGAATTACAGGATCAGAGGTCAGAGGCAAAGCTGGCTGTGGAGAGCCCCCTATATGAAGAATCCCCACTTCCTTCAGCTCTTAGGAGGAAGGGCTGCACCATGGGGGCAATGAGAGGTCAGACCAGAATTGTGGAGGAGGGCAATACCAGTAGGATGAGGGAGTGCTTCCTGGAAACTGGGACATTTGCAGTGGGTTTTCCAGTATGAGGAGTTTGGGGTGTGGAGCAGGAGCACAGCTGACTGGGTGGCCTCTGCCTTCTTCCTCACCTGTGTAATTGGAACCCTGTAGTTTTAGCACAACTCTGCCTACCCCTCAACAGTGTTTCACTCTTGTAACCCAGACTCAGGACATTTCCCTTGCCTCATCCCCTGAGCATTTGGATGATAGCAGTAAACCACTTCCCACAGCTAAAAACTTTCTCTTCAGACTCAAAATTCTAAAGGTTCATGCTGTGCTTAAAGTGGGTCCCCGGCCCTCTCCCGGTTGCTCACTCCACACCCACAGGTGTTCCCAGGACACACCAAGATCCGGGCCCAGCCTGGGGGCTTCTGTCTGGGCTCTGAGACAAGAACATGGCTCTAGTCACAGGAGCCTGGGGAGCCCCGGCCCCCAAGGGACCCGCTGTTTACCTGGCCACCTCCCCCTGGCTCTGATGCAACCCGCAGGCTCTGGTTACGTGAGGGCGAGGGCGTGAGGGCGGCAGCTGCAGCAGGGCCGCTCAGGGGGCACAACCCGCCCACACAAAGCCATATCCCTACACCCACTGAGGCTTGCCCCGCTGCCCTGGATCCTTTCAAATCCCATACTTTCAATGTCCCTGGAGGGACGGACAGTCAAGTCACCACCTCTGCTATTCAGGTGAGGGGATACATGAGTGGCTGAAGCAAGGGATACGGAGGTCTTAAAACCAAGGCTTTTTGCTTCTTGGGTTTTTTTTTTTTTTTTTTTTTTTTTTTTTTTTTTTTTTGAGACAGGGTTTCTCTGTGTAGCTTTGGAACCTTTCCTGGAACTTGCTCTGTAGACCAGGCTGACCTCGAACTCACAGAGATCCACCTGTGTCTGCATCCTGATGGAGGGCTGGGATTAAGGGCGTACACTGTCACTGCCTGGCTGCTTCTTGGGTTTTTTGTTCTTGCTTCCCTCTCCCCCTCTCTCTCCCTCTTCCTTTTTCTCTCCCTCTCCCTCTGTGTGTGTGTCTTTCTGTCTCTGTGACAATACCCTGTAAGGAGCCAAAATTGGCTTCAAACTACTTATATAATAATAACAACCCTGAGCTTGATGTGGTGACAGATGCTTTTAATCCCAGCACTCGGGAGGCAGAGGCAGGTGAATCTCTGAGTTCTAAGGCTGCCTGGTCTACAGAGGAGTTCCAGGACAGCCAGGGCTACACAGAGACCTTGTGTTGGAAACAAAACAAATAACCGAAAGAGGTAATCCTAAACTTCAGATCCTCCTGCCTCAACTGCTAGGATGTCAGGTATGTGCCAGTCTGCCTGGCTGTTTGAGAAGACCCAGCTCTGCAAGTTTGGTTGACTTCACTGAAGCAGTGCTGTGATGACAGGCATCAAGCAGGGCAGGTCTGGAAGCTTTCCAGGGTCCACTTATCCTGTAGTTAGGAAGCTCCACTCCTTGCAGGACTTGCTGTGTGACTGCTGGTCACTTCGCCTCTGTGTCTCTCTGCTAGTAAAAAGTCACAGGTTCTGGGGGAACCATTTCTGGTGTTCTTCCCATCCTCTCTGTTTGAAAACCTCCTCCCCAACTCCATCTACTCAATGCTGGTGGACCAGATTCTACATCCCCCACTGGGGACCCTTTGGAACCAGGTCCAGCATGCTGACACCAAAGACAGTCTGCACAGTCTCTTCAGGACCTACGGACTCCTGAGACAGTCTGTGAAGAGGAGGGGGACAAAGCCACATCTGTTTGTGAATAGAGAAGGTTTCCAAGATGTTAGGGGCTAAAGACAGGGAAAGCAGGAAAGAAAGACTAACTTCAAGCAGGGAGCAGACAGAAAGCCAAAGAGGCTGCAGAATGGACCGGTTTAAGTGTACACTCTATTCCTGCAGAGGGCTGACTTGAGTTCCCTGAACCAACATGGAGGCTCACAACCAACCTTAACCTAACTCTAGTTCCAGGGGATTTCGGCCTCAGTGGATGAATACCCACTAAACTAAAACTAAAAATAAAGTAAATCTCTAAAAAGTATAAAAAGCCTCATTTGTACTTTACAGTGTAATACTAAAAAGCTAGCACAGCTGGGCCTGACAATGCTGGGCTGTAACCTCAGCACTAAGGAGGTACAGGGTCTTAAGCTCATGGCCAGCCTGGGTTACATAGCAAGAACCTGTCTAAAAGGAAATACATTCAAGATCTGTGAGCTGTTCAGTGGGTAAAGGTGATAGCTGCCCAACCACGTGACCTGAGTTTGATCCCCACAGTGGAAGGGCGCCCTGAGCTGTCCTCCTACCTTCTCCACAACTGTGCTACTAATGTACCCCTCCCCAATAAAATAAATATAAAAGAAGTTTTAAAAGTCAGAAGTTCCCTTTTGGCCCTGACAGACCTGGAGCCTATTCCTCACTCAAGGTCAGCCCCTTCCAGGTCACTCCTAGTCCTGTGGCTTCCTTCTTGGATGCCCCATGGCACAGGAAGGGCACCACCTGTCTCCAAGTGACTGAGTAAGGTGAGGAGACCATGAGCTTTGGTTGGAGCAGTGTGGGGACAGAGGTAAGACTTGCTGAGTGCCCTTGTCCCTTGAAGACTCAACTCACTTTCAAAGGAGCAGGAGCCTTTGCCAGGTTTGGGTAGCCAGGACTATGCACATGGACCAATGTTCTGCTCTTGGAGGGAAGGCAAATTAGATGTAAATTAACCATGTCCCTGGGAGGCCTGGGTAACAGGTACTGAGGTGGGGGATAGACCAGTCTTGCTCTGGAACCTCTGAAAGGTGACAGTTGCCAGGTAAGGGGGCACCCAAGGCTGGGGATGTTAAGGAGCCCCGGAAGCACCTTAGGTGCCCAGAGCACCCACTTGTTTCAGTGGCTAAATCCTGGGGTTACCCTATATATTTACCATTTATATGCATATTTCTATGGAAGCAGGTTTGTTGTTGGGGTTACAAGCTTTGTCCGTATGTCTGGCTTTAATAATGTGGGTTCTGGTGGCTGAACTTGGGTCCTCAGAGTTGTGAGGCAAATTCTTAGGTGACTAAGCTGCCCCTAGGCCCTAACATGTCTGACTGTCACATAGCTGGGTTTGGTGACCGCTCCTGTACATGGCTTACCTGGGGTCTTAGGCAGGCTGTGATATACTGTTCTTGCTCCAACAGCTCCAACTGTGGCAATTGTTTTGGTTGGAGTTTGTGGGTTTTGGTTTTGTTTGGTGTATGTGTGAATCTGGGGATGGAACCCAGGGACAATTGTAGGCCAGACATGCACCCTCCCATCATGACCAGGAGATGGGAGCTAGTGGCCAAGCCAGGGTCTCAGGTCCTGCCCTGGATGGAGGTGGGAGACAATTATCTATTGGCTCCTAAGAAATCAGACAGGGAGATAAACAGCACCAAGTCCTGCAACACACCAAGTCCTGTTAGAGGTAGTGTCAGGGTCTAGTCTTCAGCATGAAAGAACAACTTCTGGATATTAAATACATATTTACCAAGATTTTCCTAGGGTGCTACTGGAACAATGATCCTGGTAATGGCCAGGGTGGGGCAATTATGGCTGAGCCAGGATGCACCAGACATTGGCCACCTTGCTAGCTGTTCAGTTCCTGCTGAGTTCTCAGTGTGGTGTCCAAGGGCCTGCTTCTGCAAGGACTGGAGGATGGAGGTGGGGGCAGGGAACTAAGGGTCAGAAGGTCAGGATCCAATCCTGGCAGCTGCAGGCAGGGCAGCAGTTGGGGCAGGCTGTCTCACCACCAAGCTAGTTTCCTCTTCTAGACTGTTGAGAGTCTTGGGTCTAGACAGGCAGTGAGGGTCTAACCCCATGAAGGCCACTGGTGATCTGAGGAGAGTGGCTTTGGGGGACACAAGGGTAGCAATCCCAGGGCACCACAAGATAAACAGAGCAGGAGACACATGAGTGGTACCCAGTAAGTTCTTGCTACACAAGGAGCTTGAGTAATGCTGACTATACAAGTTAGGTGCCTAATTAATACCCGATGACCTCACCACCCAATCAGTGCTCTCTTAATGTACTGTCCAGGAAGTTGCTGCCTCTGGGTTCTGGGGCTGTGAGCCAGTCTCTTTACACCCCCCTCTCCACAGCAGAGGATGGTCAGTACCAGTGGGGTCCATGGATGAGTCCCTTTGCTTGAGGTAGTGAGGGGACCCCAGACACCCCTGTTCTGTAACACAGGAACAGGCCAAGGCCAGAAGAAGCATCCAACTGTGTAAAGCCTAAAGCAGCATCAGGGGCTGGTCAGTTTATAGTATTGTAAAGGGTTAAGGTTTTGGATGTTTCTCTCTTGTATGGACACAGCTGTCACAATGTATAGCTGTCACTGACCACTTGGCCTCAGCTAGATGAGCCATGTTTACATGAGGGAAAAGCTGAAGACCAGAGAAGTGAGGGTGTAGGCTCAAGGTCACACGCAGCTGAGTAGTTAGGGGCATAGGAGGCAGGCCTCCACCTAAGGAGGAAGAGGAGGCAACAAGAGGCCTGAGCAGGAGACATTCAGAGTGGAACCCTCCAAGACAATCCCCCAAGTGACTATCCCAGAAGGGCAGCCAGGAAACCCAACAGTTAATACAGCAGGTCCCTGCAGGGACACAATGAAATGGCTTAGTTCAGCAGAGTGGCAACCTCTGCACTGACCTGGGTGGGGAAGCTGGTGACCCTGAGAGTCTTCTGGGGTCAGGGTCAGGCCACAGGAATGGACAGTTTCTCCTGGCTGGAACAAAACATTTGGAATGTATGAGACTGACACCACAGGTCAGCAGACAACTCAGTTGATATGGTTAGTGGCTGGAGTCACACCCTGATCCCCCTGAGTTCTTGATCTACTCTAAGGGTGGGTTAGCACCTACTCCAGAGGCCAGGCCAGGGTGCCTGGACAGATGGGGTGCTGCAGATGCAGGAGTGGTCTGCAGTGCTTTCTGCTGCTGCTCCTCTCATTCCAGCAACAGACCAGAGTTGGTGGACCCCAGCTAAAGACTGGCTGACGCTGATGCAGGGCAGCTATGTGTTTATTGAGTTATAACCAACACAAAACTTCCGAGGACAGTGGTGCTTTCATTTCACTCCATCAGCTGGAGAAACCACGGCAGGGCAGGGTGGAGAGTACAGTTCCCAGCCAATCTCAACTTCCCACTAAATCATTCCTTTTGCTCCTTTTATGGACGGAGTGCCAACTTGGGGCCTTGCTCTGGTCACATTCCCTAGGGATGCCAGAAGGCTGTTCCTTGCCCATACACGTCCTCTGACCTGTGTTTCTCAGTCACTGTCTCTGTGAGCCTGTCAATCAGGCACCACTGTGTTCCTCACAGGTCACTGAATTATAGGATACTTGTGCCATAGATGCCAAGGAACATCTGGACAGCCCACTGGTTAGGGTAGTGAGACTGGGGTTGGGGTGGGAGCAGGTGGCTGGTGCTACCTGTGGCTCTGGGCGCTGGTGTTCATGTGGTCCCGGATATTGATGGCCTGTTTGAGCAGGCCTTCCACACTATGGAAGTACACACTGCTATCCACCAGGCTCTTCACAGCACTGAAACAGAAGGCAGTGAGGATCAGCAGCAAGGCTGCCAGGAACGTCCCTACTCTGGCCACACCAGCAGCCTGGGATCCCTCAATGAGGAGCTGCAGAGGTGGGCTCAGCCTTTAACATTGTTAACTATTAACAATTAAAAAGGTTTCATGTCACCAGGCAGTGATGGCACTTGAGAGGCAGAGGTAGGCAGATGTCTGTGAGTTCGAGGCCAGCCTGGTCTACAGAGGGAGTTCTAAGACAGCCAAGACTACACAAAGAAACCCTGTCTTGAAACCTCCTCCCCTTCCCCCCAAAAAGAGGAGGTTTCATGTCTGTAAAGGTAGCACTCAGCCTGTCAGCCTGCGAATCCCTCATCCTGAGGGAAAGGACACCTCTCAGCCCAGTGACTGCAGTGGGTGCTGCTTCACAGGGATGGAACTGATCTTTATCCAGTGTTGAAAAGGTGGCTGGATGCATGACTCTGCTTTGAAGATTTGAAGTGTATAGACCAGGCATAGTTGTACATGCCTATCTTCCTAGGACCCAAGGAGGCTGAGGCAGGAGGATCCTGAGTTTGAAGCCAGCCTGGGCTGTAGAGTGAGACTCCGTCTCAAAAATCACACCAATCTTTTTATTTGTTTGGTTTTTTGAGACAGGGTTTCTTTGTGTAGCTTTGAAGCCTATCCTGGAACTAGCTCTTGTAGACCAGGTTAAACTGGAACTCACAGAGATCTGCCTGCCTCTGCCTCCCAAGACTGGGATTAAAGGCACATGCCACCACTGCCTGGCATATTATATGAATCTTAAAAAAACAAACAAACAAAAACATTTATTTGGGGGAGGGGATGCATCTGCAGTGGTGCCCTGTGGAGGTCAGAGGACAACCTGCCAAAGTCAGTTCTCTCTGTCCTTGGCGTAGGCACCTTCACCCAGAGGCCTCTCAGTAGCCCTATATCCTTCCTATGAGCAGAGAGTGAGGGGTTTATTACTCTCATGTAATTAAGCAATTAAGAGGATCAAATCCTCATTAAGAGCTCATGAAAAGCCCAAGCAATTGAGGGTGTGCATATCAAAAACACTGGCTATCTGAATCTGCACTTTATAAAAAAAGTGAGATGGTGGAGTGGTGAATATGCTCAGGGTACACAGTAGGCTGGACACAGGGACAGTGAGGGATGGTGGCTCAAAAGGAGAGCCGACCTGCTACCCAGGAGGCCTAAGAATGAAGAGAAAAGCCAGGTGTGGTGGTGCACACCTTTAATTTCAGCACTTGTGAGTCAAAGGCAGGATGATCTCTGTGAGTTCAAGACCAGCATAGTCTACAGAATGAATTCCAAGACAGCCAGAGTGAGACCAAGACTATAAAATGAGACCCTGTTTCAAAAGGAAGAAAGAGAGAAGGAGAGAGAGGAAGAAAAAAGAATAGAAAAAAAAAGTAGAGTCCTATAGATTCCATAGCCCAGTAGGCACAACAGAGACTCAAGGCCACACTTAGAGTCAAATATGGGCTCCCCAGAACCTGGAGAAGGACCTGAACAAAAAGAACATGAGGGAGCCAGAGATATGGTCAAGGTCCTTGCACCAACACTGATGACCTGAGCTCTATGCCTGGGATCCACACAGTGGAAGGAGAACAGATTCTTGTGAGCTGTCCTCTGATCTCTATATGTGTGCCATGGCACATGTGTGCCTACATACACACACATGCACATTGAATAAAATCTTGTATGTGAGCAGAAGTCATTAGCAGAATGATCTCAGCTCCTAGGAAGGCAGAGGCAGGAGTGCTTAAGCCTGGGTATTCAAGGTTATCCTGGAGATACAACCAAGGCTCAACTCAAAAACAACATGACAAGTAGAAGTGGTAGACTTGTCAGTATCTGCTCTGCACTGGAGGGCACAGCACAGGGTAGAAGGCAACCCTGTCTCCCCTTAACTGTGGTCCAGCCTCAGGCTCTGTGCTACCGCTTAGCTTGGAGGAAGTTGATTTTTGTGTCTGTGTGGTTTATGTGTGAGTATGTGTTTGTGGGTGTTTGCATGTGTGTGTGCACCTGCAAGTGCATGTGTGTGGAGAACAGAGGTCAACACTGGGCATGTTCATCAACTTCTCTCCACCTTATTTTTGAGGCAAGCATTTATGAACTGAGCCCTAGTCCCTAAACTGAGACAGGAATCTCTCACTGAACTAGGAACTCGCTGATGGGACTAGCTGCCTAGGGGAGCTCTAGACATGCTCCTGCCTCCAACCTCAAGGTTGAGCTGGGCTTGTTGGTGCACAGCAACTGTCAATAAGGGTGCTTTGGGGCTTGTGCAGCAAGCACTTTATTCAGTGAGCCACACACTGCCCACCCCAAGTCAAAGGCAAACAGTCGAGTCCCCAACTCCCCAAGAACAACTATAAGGGACCCAACTGAGGTGTCAAGGCTGCACCTCAAGGTGAGGGGACATGGAGATTGGGAATCTGTGCCACTCTGCCCTGTAACAGGTATAGTAGGGTGTCTCACCTGCAAGCGTACTCCACGGTGTATATGGCGCCCTGGCTCTGCTCCTCCCACCTCTGCATGTCAGCCTGCAGAATTGTGGAGCATTAGAAGGGAAGGCTCTATGGAAACCAGTGTTATATGACATAACCCCTCTGAGCTTATCCTCCAAGTTCTACCTGAATCCTCCATTCCCCACAGACGTCTTAGTAGCGCCTCCCTACTCTTTGCTTAAGAGCACAAAGACTTCCTCCTGCAGTCCTCTTCCTGCTTAGGGCTCAAGCCCTTGGCACTGTCTATTTCTTCTACCTGGCATACCCTTCCTTCACCTTGCTGGTCACTAACATAGACATGCTTCAAAAGCCACACAAGGACTGTCCCCACATCGTCCAACCTGATTCAGCTGCCACAGGCCACCTCACCAGCACCTCTGCTTTGCCTTCAGCCCCTCCACACAGCACCCCACATCTGCTCAGGGGCTGTGATTGGACTTGGGGGAGATCTTCTGCATGGTTGGCAGAACTCACCTTGTGCTGGGCCAGCTCCGGCAGTGAGCGGCGCACATGTTCTTGTAGCCGGTACAGGGCCACTGATGGCTCATTGGCCAGGACATAGACACTCTCAGTGAACTTGTCTGTGACTGGGTTTGACATGGTGGGGATGGGAATAAGGGACAAGTATTAGACCCTTGTATTTATTTTGAATCATGTGTGTGTGTATCTATATGTATAAGTACATCTATAAGTGCAATGCCATGGAGGCCAGAAGAGCTGGAGTTACAGGGGGTTGTGAGCTGTACAATGTGAATGCAGGGAACCAAACCTGTCATTCGTACTCCTAACTACCAAGACATCTCTCTAGCTTCTTTAAAAAAAAATTTTTTTTTTTTTTTTTTAGCTAGGGGATCTTGTGTAGCCCAGGTCAGACTTTAGTTTTCTATAACCAAGGATGACTTTGAACTCCCAATCCTCCCAATCCTCCTGCCTCCACCCCCTTTGTGCTGGGATTGTAGATGTGCAACACCACACTTAGTTTATGTGATGCTAGGCATGTAGCTCAGTTTCATGCATGCGAGGCAGGGACTCTACCAGATGAGTACCAGCTCACATTGGACTCTTGATTGTTCAGTCTTTGAGCCCAATCAGGAGAGGAGCTGCCAGGGTACACTCCTGTAACTGTCATCCTCAGGCCCGGGGACAGCTACAGACAGTAACAGCAGGGCCTAAGTCAAGGGCGCATGAGCACATAAGGAACTCACAGGCTCCTCCCACCTTCCCACAACACCCCTTTCAGGGGTTACTGGTGAACAGTACTAATGCCACTAAGACCCCTTACCTCATTCATAATATCATACTAGAAACCAGTAGAGGAACATCCAATAGCTCTGGATTCCCTGTAACTCACTATGTAGAGCAGGCTGTCCTGAAACTCACAGCAATCCTCCTACCTCTGCCTCCCATGTTCTGGGAGAAGTATGTTACCACCATGCCCAGCTGACCAGAGGACGACCACAGAACCCAAAGGTGCCTAAAGTTCACATCCTTGTTTTGCCTCTACTTTGACCAAGACGGGAATGATGTGGAAGCCCACATTCTCTGCTATGTTGGAAAAACTCTAAGATATACCCCATCACAAGCCCTGCCATAGCAGGATGCCTACTGAGGCTACCCTTTACTCAACCCATCCAAGTTCCTGTAAAGCCCACCTGCTTCCTTTTTCCTGGAACTCATGTTTCTTCCACAAGTCCGCTGCACATAAACCATCATCCCAGAGTAGACTTCTAGCAAGGGCTTTCCAATAAGCCAAGTCTCCAACCTTCCTGCTCCATCCATCAAAGATTCTGTTGCTTCCAACTGCACATTTGATCCCTCTCCTGCCTGTACCACACCAACTCTGACAACAGTCCCAATTACAGGCTGCAGATGGCGCCAACTCCCAAGACAAACATGCCATAAATCCTGCTTTCTTATCACCCAGGGCTCCCACCAGCCAAAGAAAATTACCTACTTCTCCGGTCTTTATTTATTTTGCAATGCTGGGGATCAAACCCAGAGCCTTGAACATTCTGGGCAGAGTGCTCACGACTGAGCAACAGCCCCAGCTCGTCTCTCATGTCTCACCAGGATTAAACTGGCCTTCAATCAGTAATCTCGATTCTTGCCTCCCGAGTAAAGATTAGAGTATTACGCCACCAAGCCCGTACACTCGTTTACATGTTCACAGGATAAAAGAACAAATTAAACTGAGTATGGGGTGCACGCTTTTAATTCCAGCTCTCGGGAGGCAGAGGCCAGCCTGGTCTACATAGCGAGTTCCAAGACAGAACTACACACTGAACCCTTGTCTCGAAAAAAAAAAAAAAAAAAAAAAACCAGAAAGAGAGCCTTCCCTTGGCTCGGTTCACTATGGCTGTCACGTCACCTCCCGCCGGGAGACACCGGCCTTCCTTTTCCGCCGAGCCCTGCACTGCCCTCTGCAGGCCGCGACCGGGCGACTCCCCGACCCCTCCAATCTGCCCGGGGTCCCGCAACACCTTTCTTGCCCTTCAGCTGCATCTCTGGTTCTTCCATAGCGAAGGCGGACAGGCAGCAACCCAAAACCGGAACCGGAAGTCGTGAATCTGGGGCGTCTACTTAAACTTTCCGGGTCGAAGCAGGTCGCTGTAAGCCTGCATCCAGTTCAGGTGTCGGGTTCGCTGAGCCTCTTCGCGCCAGCTTCTATTCAGACAAGAGGGAATGAAGGCAACTCGGGCATGCGTGTGATAGCATGGGGATTTCCTGGTGCTCTAGAATACCTAGTCCAGGACGCCCTGCTGCCACCATAACCCTGCACATACTGATAATCCCCTTGGAATTATCAGGGAAAGGAAATGTTAAGGACAAGCGCCAATGATATTCGGTCCCTTTAAATTCGCTAAGTCCCGCCCACGTGTCTCCGCCCCCGTCTGGAGAATGCTCCGCCCTCCCACCCACTAGTGACTCCGATTGGGGAAGACTGTGGTAGCGGGTGGTGGGGAAAACGCAGGAGAGGCCGCACAGGCGCAGTGAAATCCTCAGCCCGTCTGAGTCTCCTTCAGTGCTTTACAAGGAGAACGCACGCACGCGCCGCTGTACTTACGTGCCTCAGCGGAAGCCATGCCCCTCCTTCAGATCTTAAAGGGCTAGAAGCAGCTTCGGTTCTTGGCACTTTTGCTGGGGAGGGGTGCGCAGGCGCACTAGGGGAGTTCTCTAGTCGGAGTAGTCGTCGCGTGTAAGTTGCTGCTCTCAGTCCCGACAGAGGAAGCTAGAGTGCTGAGCGTCCGGTCACCAATTTGCACCTCACTAGATCCACTGGACCAGGAAAGTTTGTGAATAGAGGTTCCCGAGTTTTGGGAGACCCAGGCTTGCAGCGTAGGGGGACGGAGGAGGCTGGAGGGAGGTGAGTGTACCTCCTGAGTCGCATCTATTACTGAGCTCTAAGTCGTTTTGGAGGATCCCGACCCAAATAACCACAGAAGGCCACTAATAAGTTTGGTGCTAGTATCTCTGTGCTGTTTTCTGACACGACCTCTCTGAGGCCTCGTTTTTTCACCTTATTGAGGAGAAAATTAAGGCTCAGCTTAATCATAGCCCAGGTTTTCACAGCTTGTAAGTGAGGGGATTTGAACCCAAACTGTTGTCCGAACTCCAATTTTATTGCCTAGTGCAAGTGCCTAGGATTCTGATGTTATTTGTTGGCAATAGCAGTTATCCAAAGCTTTAAGTTTCCTACCCTCAACAGGCAAGGCTGAGTATGCAGACCATGCCTAGTGTGTGTGTGGATGTATACATATAAATATATGTACACACACTATACATCTATCTATGTTTATCTATTTATATTGAGATAGGGTCTCTCTAACATAACTCTGGCTGTCCTAGAACTTACTATGTAGACTAGACTGGCCTCAAACGGACCTAACCAATATTCTTTTATTTTGGGGGTGGGATGTGGTTTGGAGCTGATGTGGAGGCCAGAGGACAACTTCCTGGAATCAGTTATTTCCCTCTACCATGTGGGTTCCTGGGATCAAACTTAAGTCATCTGGCTTGGTGTCAAGCTGAGCCATCATGGGAGCCCAAGAGCTTCTTATAATTATTGTTCTGTCTTCCCTCCAGCTCCCCCCATGGAACCCACTCAGCTTGCAGGGAACCTTATCCCAAACCAGCAGTCCTCTGTGCCTGACTTTGAGGATCCTGAGGACCCCAGAGAGGAATCCCTGGACAGCTCAGACACTGTGGTCCTCAGTCTGTTCCCCTGCACCCCAGAGGCTGTGAATCCTGAAGCAGATGCTAGTGCATCCTCATTACAGGGTGAGGGAGACTATCATGTTCCACATCAAATCTGTCCTCATGGCTTGGAGACTGGGGCCCACTTTTCCCTGTCTACCCTCCTAGATTATTTTTATTTTAGTGTGTGTGTGTGTGTGTGTGTGTGTGCTTATGTTGCACGTTCCTCAGGATGTGTGCATGTGTTCACAGTACTGCATGTGTGTTGGTGTGCACATGCATGGAGGCAAGGTGTTGACACATCCTATTCTTCAATGACATGTCCACATTATTATTTCTTTAAGCTTTGCTAGGCATGCTTGGCACACATCAGAAACAGGCAGATATTTGTGAGTTCAAGGTCAACCTGGTCTACATAGGGAGTTCCAGGATAGAAAAGGTCATTTAGAGAGACCCTGCCTTAAATCGGTATAGAGAGGATAGGTAGAGAGATAGCTGAATTGTTTGGGCCACTTGGTTTTTCAGAGGATCTGGGTTCAATTCTCAGCACCCACAGAGTGGCTTATAGCCACCTTAACTCCAGCTTCAATTCAAGTTCCCCCAGAACTTCCTCTGGCCTCTGAGGACATCAGACACACACACATCATACACATACATTCATGTAGGCAAAACATACACATAAAATAAGTACATCTAAATTAAGAAGTTTTAAAGGATTTTTAAATGTTTTATGTACTTGAATGTTTTGCCTGCACACATGTGTACCATGAGCATGCAGTGCCTGAGGAAGCCAGAAAAGGGCATCTGAGTCCCTGGAACTGGGATCTGCAGATGCTGCAGGTCAGACCTGGACCTCTTGAAACCCAGAGAGCCATCTCTACAGCCCCTAATTTCTACATTACATTTATTTATTCCATGTATGTATGCGCATGTGAATGAACATGTCATGGCTCACATGAAGAGGGCAGGAGACAATTTTCAGGATAAGTTCTCTCTTTCTGCTGTGGATCCTAGTAATGAAACTCAGGTCCTGAAGCCAAGAACAGGCGCCTTTACCAGCTGAGCCATCTCTCTGGCCTCTATCTTATGTTCAAGACAGAGTCTCAGACCAAACCTGAAGCTCACTGATTAAGCTAGTCAATGAGCTCTGAGGTACTGCCTGTCTTTACCTTGCAGTGCTAGCAAGCAGCCATGACACACGCCTTTGATCCCAGCACCATAGAGGCAGAAGCAAGCAGATCTCTAGTTTGAGGCCAACCTAGTTTACATAGTAAGTTCTAGGCCAGTCAGAGTTACATAGTGAATATCTCAAAAAAAAAAAAAAAAAAAAAAGTGTGTGTGTGTGTGTGTGTGTGTAGAGAGAGAGAGAGAGAGAAGGTCTCTCTATTTGGAGTCCTGGCTCTAATCTGGAACTTGTTATATAGTCCAGGCTGGCCTCAAACATAGAGATGCACCTGCTGCTTCTGCCTCCTGAGTGCTGGAGTCAAATCTGTGCCCCACCACAACTGGCCATTTTGTATATTTTTTTAGTGTGGGAAAATATATACAACATTTACTATTTGGATACAATTGAAGTACAATTTAGTGAACTTTGGCACATTCATTGGTTTGTGCCACCATCATGTTATCTAGTTCCAGAATATTGCCATCACTGCAGTAGAAGACTCCCAGACCCCAGAAGCACTTACTCCTGCTCCCCTCCCTCAGGCCACAGCAACACCGATCTGTCTCCTCCTCTGGTAATTGTTCAAATTGTTCTGGTTGATATATATCCCTGGGATGGCCCAACTCTCATGACTGACCAGAGTCATGGTCATGGTGTGGGTCAGGTCTTCATCGCTCTTTATGATCGCATAATATCCCAGCAAGTGGGTGGACCACAGTCTGTTCATCCGTTTATCTATTGACAAATATTGGGTGGTTTCCTTTTTAAAGTGTGTGTGTGTGTGTGTGTGTGTGTGTGTGTGTGTGTGTGTGTGTTCTCACATGTATGCATTCACTGATGCCCACAGAAACCAGAAGACATTGGCTTTTGTTGGAGCTGGAGTGCCAGTAGCTTTGAGCTGCCAATGTGGATGAACTGAACCCCAGTCCTCTGTAATAAGAATTAGTATTCTTAACTGCCCAGCCAGCTCTCTGCCCCCCCCCCCCAGTTTCTTTTGTGCTGTTGGGAATAGTATTGCTCTGAGTACCAAATTTTCATTTGAACTTGGCTAAGTTGGTGGAAATAGAGAAGATTGGAAATTCAGGGTTATCCTCAGCTACAGAGAGAACCTGGGCTACACAAGACCTTTTCTCAAAAGCCAGGAGGGCTCCCATGGAGATGACTGGGTCGGGTAATGCTGCCCTGGGAACACAGGGACCTGAGTTCAATCCTAAGCATCCAGAAAAAAAGCCAGTGTGGTAAAACACACCTGCAGTGTTCCATTACTGAGGTAGTGGAGACAGGAGGGTCTCAGGACCTGACTGACAGCCAGCCTAGTTCAAATGGTGAGCCCCAAGCATGTCTCAAAAGGCAAGGTAGACAGATCCTGAAGGGTATACTTAAGGTTAACCTTTGCACGCGCACACACACAAGTTGGTCTCTCCTTTCCTCTTCCTCTGTTTCCTTACTTGGAACACTCTAAGCCCAGGCTTCCTTGTAGTCTTCCTGCCTCTGCCTCCTGAGTGCTGGAATCAAAAGTGTGTGCCTCCACCACCCAGCCTCCTTCTATTTCTTTAACATAAGGTTTCATTCTGTAGTCCCAGCTGACCTGTAAATAACTGTATATCCCAGGCTGGCTGCCTTGTGATGCCTGCCCCAGCTTCCTGAGTAGTTGAGAATGTGGGCCTGTACCACTAGACCTTACTCCTTTGTCATTCATTTAAAAAGGTTGTTTTATTTACTATTAGCATCTGTGTGGGTGTTGGCATGCACATGGAGATCATAGGGATGGCCTTTTAAAGATTGGAGCCTGCAGCATATGTCTGGACACTCTGAGACAAACACACCAGGGAAACAGCCCCTTCATCTCCCTGCAGGCAGCTTCTTGAAGCACTCAACAACCCTCACAAACCGGCAACGTGGGAATGAGGTCTCGGCTCTGCCAGCTACCCTTGATTGTGAGTAGGACTCATGGAGGTGGGGGTGGCACTAGAGGATTCCTTACAAGCCTGGCATGGTGCCCCATGGCCCAGCAATTGGGGGTGGAGGTAGAGGGGCTGGTCAGAAGTTCAAGGTCATCCCTGGCTACTACAAGCCAACTGAGACAAAAAAAAAAAAGCTACAAGGAATTGAGGAACTTGGCTCAGATGGTAGACTGTTCACCAACATCCACAGACTTCTGAGTTGATCTCAGGCTCCTCGTAAACTGTCACTCTAGCATTCAAGAGGATCAGCAATTCCAGGTTATCCTTGGCTACATAGCAAGTTGCAGGCCAGCCTGGGCTTCACAATGCCCTCTCAAAAAACAAAAAAATAGAGGATCAATTTTGAACAGGGTAAACAGAGCCCTGGGGAGGGGATGGAAGGGTGAATACTGTGCCTGTCTCTGGCCGCAGCCCTGTCTATCCACCAGCTTGCAGCCCAAGGGGAGCTGAGCCAACTGAAGGGCCATCTGCGGAAGGGTGCGTGTCCTTTGTGTGCTGGCATGCACATGCCCGTCTGGTAGGGAAAAGTGTGTGGGAGTGGCCTGTGTGTGTGTGCTTGTATGCTTTGTGTATGTTCCCCTTCATGTCATTGAATCCTGCCTACCCCACTCACAAGAGCCAGCAATCTTGCTGTCCTCCACCCCATGTCCCTCCCACTTGTCAGGTGACAACCTGATCAACAAGCCAGATGAGCGTGGCTTCACTCCCCTCATCTGGGCCTCAGCCTTTGGAGAGATTGAGACAGTTCGCTTCCTGCTAGACTGGGTATGTCCCGGGGATGCAAGGACAGGCTGGGGTCTCAGCTTCTGCAGCTGCTGCCTTTGAGTTGGGCTGCCCCACCTGGGGACCCTGAGATTTCAAGTATCCCATCACTACCTTTTCTGCTTTCCTAGGGTGCTGACCCCCACATCCTGGCCAAGGAGAGGGAGAGCGCCCTATCACTTGCCAGCATGGGCGGCTACACGGACATTGTGAGGTTGTTGCTTGAACGGGATGTGGACATCAACATCTATGACTGGGTGAGGCACTGCCACCCTCATCTGTCATAGACTCCTGACTTCCATCTCTGCTCTACATGGATGGAGTCCCGTGAGGTGCCAGGCCTGTCCTGGGCTCTGGGAATGCAGGACAACTGTCATCACACCTGATAAGAGTTCCCATTGTCTGGGAGACAGATGCACAAAAAGACATGAGTAGAGGTGTAATGGCAGGCTCACCAGCAGCTGCAAAAGCCCCAAAGAAGCTGAGAAAAGTCAGGGAGGGCTTCTTGGAGGAATGGGTGTCTAAGAAACTTAGAATGGAGAGAGCCATGCAGTAGGCAGGAAGTGGATTGAATTGGCAGCCAGAGGGCAAGGGCAGAGCAGAGACCTAGCACTGGTTTTCACCTAGTCTTATCCACAGAACGGGGGGACACCACTACTCTACGCTGTGCGTGGGAACCACGTCAAGTGTGTGGAAGCCTTACTGGGTGAGTAGGAGCCCATGGGGCCCTGGACTCCAAGGGCAGACAAGAAGAGGCAGGGTAGTGTGTGGGCTTTTGTGCTTGACTGAGTCAGCCATATTGGACTGCCCCCAACCCCCTTACCGCCCACCCCTCCTCCCCCAGAGACTCTAAATCCTGTTCTTGGGGTGGGGGCACTGACATCTTGCCACTGCCCAAGCTCACATGGACAAAGGGCGGCCTGCAGACCTGTAGCTGTCCCATGGTGGGGGTAGCCACTTCCCCAAACCCTGCCATCCATGGGCTCCCAACTCTCAGATGCAGCCCTGTGCCTCTGCTTGTTTTGCTTTGCAGCCCGGGGCGCTGACCTCACCACAGAAGCTGACTCTGGCTATACCCCAATGGACCTCGCCGTGGCCCTGGGATACCGCAAAGGTGGGCTGAGGGGCTGTGTGTGGAGTGGCCACAGAGGGATACACAGGATGTCCCCTCCTTAGCACAGGGAGGCCAGGCACCTCCCCATCCTGGCTCTTGGCACTCTTGGGCTGAGGTAGGGACACCAGTACATGACAAGGACTCTGGGGTACACAAAGACACTCAGAGATACTAATAGCCCCAGCTTATCCCCAGAGTAGGTGTAGATCTTAGTCCCTCTGCCCCAGACACACACCCTGCCTTGTAGTGTTGGGTGAATCACATCGTTGAGGCCACCCCAAACTCTTGACTTCTGTTGCTATAGCAGAATACAGGAGATAGGGTGTTTTTTGGTTTAAAAAAAAGTTTTATTTGGATTTACGGTTCTGGAGGCTGGGAGAGCTACAATTGTGTGGCCATAATGGCTGAGGGTCTGGAATTGCTTTGACTCAGTGGATAGTAAGAGCAGGACAGTGGAGGGGAGCTAGGCAGGCCTTGTCTTAAAACACCCTATTCTCAAGGAAGTCCTGCCCCCCCACACACACACACTGTGAAGGGTCCCAGCCTCCAGACTAGACTGCACGACCTTCTGGGTCTCCCTTCACTCCTGCTCATGGCCTCCTTTTCACATTTGAGGTTGAGCATCATTCCAGTCCCCTCACCTACTCACACCTCCTCCCACAGTGCAACAGGCAATGGAGAGCCACATCCTGAAACTGTTCCAGAGCACTCTGGGGCCTGTGGACCCTGAGTGAAGACAGCCTGGCGGAAACCCAGGCACTCAGGGAACAAACTGGCTTGAGGCAGCCCTTGGACAGTGGTGGGAAAGGGCCCTCCCCACAACAGGAACTAATAAATCTGTGAACGTGAAGGGTTTGTGGGTGTGGGTGTTCGGGGGGGGGGGGGGTCTTCCTGGAAGAGGTGGCCGTCGATAGCTCTCACACTGCTTTCTCACCCAGCACCCGCAGGTGGTAGATGACCACACGGCCAAAAAAGTCGGTGGTGTCCTCAAAGGTCAACTTCACTCGGTCCACCTCCACAGTGGGGAGGGAGAAGGTGTGGCCTTGTGCAGTCAAGGAGGACATGGTGGCTTTGTTTCTGACCCATCAGGCCCACCTTCCCAGTTCAGACACCACCCAAATGGACCAGGTGATTACAGACTCTTGGTGCCTCTCATACCCAGCAAAAAATCAACAGCATTTTCTCTTACCCCTGCCCCCACACCCCAGACCTGTGTAGCCCTGGCTGTCCTAGAACTCACTTTATAGAGCAGACTGGCTGCAAGAGATACACCTGCTTCCCCAGTGCTGGGATCAAAAGCATATACCACAATCGCCAGGCACCTTCTTTTTTTTTTTTTTTTTTTTTTTTTTTTTTTTTTTTTTTTGATACAAGGTCCCAGGTAGCCTGGACTAACCTCAAACTTGTAGCTGAGGATGACCTTGAACCCCTGGCTCTCCTGCTGAAGCCCCATACAATGGCTCCTACTCAGGTGGAGAAGGCCACAGCTTTAATACTTTCTCTCTCTCTCTCTTTTTTTTTTTTTTTTTTTTTTTTTTTTGAGATAGGGTTTCTCTGTATTGCTTTGGCAGTTGTCCTGGAACTCGCTCTATATACCAGTCTGGCCTGGAACTCACAGAGACCCACCTGCCTCTGCCTCCCAAGTGCTGGGATTAAAGGCATGAGCCATGGGACGCCCAGAGCTTTAATTCTCAAAACAGTATGGGTATGTGGCTAGGCTGGCCTGACATTCTAGACTCTTCACCTCAGCCTTCCCAGTGCCTGTACCACACCCTCATACCCCAGGCCAAGCAAGATATTTGAAGGGCGTTTGTGTCCTCAGGGTAAAAGTCCACAATCTTCCTGAGTGTGTTCCCAGACTGTGAACCTGTAGCAGAAAAACACAGGCTGAGAATCAGGGAACTCCTTTGACACCCACCTCTTACAACCTTCCAGTACCTTCCAGGTAGCTGTGGCGACTAGAGAATCCGCCCTGGAACTGCACCTGCAGCTGTGTGATGTGAACACGCTTGGGAAACTCGAGTGTCACCCACTGGGAGGGGCCCTGGAAGCAGATGGGTAAACTGAGGAACTTGGTAATGTCAGGGTAACAGCCCATTATGCTCTGCTCATCTTTCAAGTTCCACTGCCGGAGAAAGTCCAGAAAGTGTGAGCAGGCTGTCCTTTTTAGTCTTCCCAAAGTTCTCAAGGCACCCTGCACCTTGAATCTCTTTCACACTCAGGTTGGAGGGGCGTGGAAGCACCTCACCTGGTCAGAGTTCCAGCATGTCTCCTCATCCTGGTCAAAAAGATGTTTCTTCCCAAATTGCCGGCTGTTTCTATTAAGCACAGAACTCACCCTGCAGGACAGGGGCAGGGCTAGGAGCTTCCCCTTGCAGTGAGCCACACTCCCCAGGCCAACTTGCCCCACCACCAAGAACTCTGCAACAGTCAAGAACAAGGTGGCCCCAGGCAGGAACACAACCGCCTGGCCCCGCCCCCAGTCTTCCCTTAGCCCGCACCCGGCCTCGCCACCGTTGCTCAGATCCCAGTTCATCTGTCCCCACCCCATGTCCCACAGTCCTCGAATCTCACCTGCTCACGGTCTCGGGGCAAACCAAAGACTGGCTCATCTCGGCTCTGCTACGCCTCGCCTAGCGCTCAGTCATTCGAGTTCGAACCTCGGCGCTGCCACTCCCCACTTGACCCAGCTGCGGGCTCCCCGGTTGCCTCTGAGTGACAAAGCGAGCGATTCGGGGACCGGAAAGAGACAGAAGCAGCTTCCTAAACTACAGCCTAGCTCCAGCCGTGCAGTTGTGCGAACCCGACCAAGACCCGGAACCGCGTGCGGATGGCGCACGCTCTGTGCAACACAGACCCAGCCCTATCCGCGGTGCCGGCCTCTTAAAGAGCCCGCACCCTCAGATTCCTGATTCCGTGGAGCTGGAGGGTAAACGCACACCCTACCGCTCGCGAACGTTCTCACAGCCTTCCTGTGATCGTGTCCTCTGTGGAGAATCTCCCTCGCTGTGAATGCAATCCAACCTACCCTATCCGGGTTTGCTTGTTGGGCGCCTACGGTCCCTCAGGAGGCTAGGCAGGAGGACTGCATATTTCACGCCAACATGGACAATTTAGCAAGACCTGTTTTTAAATATATATTCTAGCCGGGCGGTGGTGGCACATGCCTTTAATCCCAGCACTTGGGGGGCAGAGGCAGGTGGATCTGTGATTTCGAGGCCAGCCTGGTTTACAGAGCTAGTTCCAGGACTGCTAAGACTATACAAAGAAACCCTGCCTTTTTTTTTTTTTTTTTTTTTTTTTCTTCTTCTTCTTCTTCTTCTTCGAGACAGGGTTTGTCTGTATTGCTTTGGAGGTTGTCCTGGAACTCGCTCTGGCCTGGAACTCACACAGACGCACCTGCCTCTGCCTCCTGGATGCTGGGATTAAAGGCGTGTGAGCCACCAGGGCCGAGCTCAAAAAAAAAAAAAAACCTTTTTAAAAATGTATAATGAGTGTTTTTCTTGAATGCTTATATACTGTGCGTGTCTGGTACCTGTCCATCCAGAGGACATCCAATCTTCCAGTGTGGGTGCCAGGACTGGACATAGGTCCAGTCTCAGCTCCTAAATATTTAATACATTTATTTGTATAAGTCACAGCATGATGTGTCAGGAGTTGGTTTTCTTCTTACACCATGTAGTTCCTGCGGCAGACTGAGATGAGCAGTCAGGCTCAGCCATCTCCTCAGCCATGGATGTAGTTCAGAGATAGACCGCTGCAAGGTGCTGAGTTCCATTGCCAGCACCAAACCAAGGGATAAGTCTCTTAGCAAATGCTGTCCTAGCAGGTTATGGAAGGCTGTCCAAAGAGTCAGCATGAGGTGGCTTTTGCAGGATGAACAGGAGTCCCAGTGGGAATAAAACAAAACCAAACACCCCAAACTTCATGGGTTCAGGTGTGAACCTCATGGACAAACAGGCTTCCTCAAGGAAGGGCTTTCTGGGAGGGAACATGTCCTGGAAAAGAGCTCCAGGCTGGGGATTAGAAAGTAGAGTAGGTGACAGACCTGTGGAGTCACTTCCCACTGGGCTGGAGCAGTTTTGGGGAGAGGGTGGAACTCCCACCTCTCTGAATGCAAGCTCCCAAGCTAGAGCAGCCCCTTGGGATGAATGGTCTCTGATCTGTCCTATTTCTACTATGGCCAGGACTGCCTGGCATCCATTAACTTCTTCCAAGCCTACCCCAGGAAACGGGCTGGCAGGGCAAGTGGGTCACCATCAGAAGGGCTCCCCTGCTAGCCTGTAAATGCCAGAACTTCCTTGCCAGGACTTCAGTTATGGGTCCCTGCCATCCAGATCCATCTTAGCTGTCCTCCAAGGGCTATGGAGGAATTGTGTGTAGTTAAAAGCTTGGCTGTGTGATGTCAGACATTTGACCTCTGAGCTCAGCTTCCTGCCTGTGAAAAAGCAGGCTGTTAGGGTTGACGCCTGGTAACAATAACTGAGACATTGGGACTCATAGACAAGGTCTGTCTCCAGGCACAGGCTCATCATTATCCTGCCCACGGCTGTCTGGTGTCACCTCTATGGCACTGAATACAAAAATGTGGCCTTGATGCCTGAAGAGGCTGCCTACAATCCCAGCCACTTCCTTCCTATATCAGTCCTGGACCTGGCATGAGGCTGCCTGGCACCCTGGGATATGGCCAGCTCTCTTCCCCCTTCCCGCCCCTCACCCCACTGGTGTCTGGGCATGAAAGAGCCTCCTGTTTCACCAGGGAATTAGTAGTTCTGAGATCCCAGTGCTACAGCCAATAGCCAATGTGGTCTATTCATCCACCTAAATCAGAGAGCCTGTGTATTGCTTCCTTCCCATCACTCACCTGGCCCTGAGTCAGGGAGGGTGCCATAGGGACCAGATTTGTCTGTTCCTTTGCTCTATCCCCCTCTCTCCATTTTTTTTTTTTTTTTTTTTTCCTGCTTGTTTGCTAGTTTGATTCTTTTGAGACATGGTCTCACTATATAGCTCTGGCTGTCCTGTAACTCCCTCTGTAGACCAGGCTGCCTTAGAACTCTGCCTCTGCCTTCCAAGTGCTTATATGCCCCTTTTTTCCTTTCCTTTTTTTTTTTTTTTTTTTTTTTTTTTTTTGTTATTTCTTTTTTGTGTGTGACAGGGTTGTTAGCCTCAAATGTATTATGCAGTAAAATGGCCTTAAACTCCCAGTCCTCCTCAGGTGTTTGGTGGCATTGTGTATGACTGTTCACATATGACCTTGGCCAACAAGAGAGATTCTACCCCAAGACTTGGCTGTCCAGGAGTTTTCTGCACCCATGTGGCCTCTAGGCCACTCATCCCTCCTTCACCCCATCCCCTGATGGCAGCCCCAGGGTACCTGAGACAGAAAAGGCCTTCCAGGCTGGAGGTAGGGACTTTCTAGATCCCATGGGGGGGGTGGCTATAAATAGCTCTTTGAGCCTTATAGATTCCCAGGCAAGGTTCCCTCACTAAAGACCCTGGCAACAGCAGGTCTGGGCCTTGAGCCAGTTCCTCCCTTTTCAGCTCTGGCACCAACTCAGGAATGGGGTTGGTGAGGAGCTGGAGGGCCAGCTTGGCTCTGGGGCTACGGACTAGGTCTGTGCAACTTCAGGCAGAGCATCCCATCTTCTTGAGCCTTAGTCTCCCCTAGCAAACTCCAAAATGAGCAACAAGGAGATGGTAGCCCTGCTGGGTGTGGTAAGTGTGCCTCATCCCAGCCCTCAGAGGCTGGAGGCAGGCAAATCAGGGAACCAAGTTCATCCTCAGCAAACTAAGGTCATCCTCAGGGGACCAAGGTCATTCTCAGCTGACCAAGGTCATCTTCAGCACTTGATGAGATGAAGGCAAGTCTGGGCAGACACCTAGTCTTAAAACTACAAAACAGTAAACATATACACACACTTCCTGTTTCGTTCTCCTAACAATCCATAGAGACTACTCATATTCTCCACTGAGGGGTAAACTGAGGCACGGGAGCATGGCTCAGAGTTGCACCATTATGAATGGTAAAGAAAGCACATCTTTTCCCCCCTCAATCATCTATTCAGCATATCTTTTTGTTTGTTTGTTTTGTTTTCTGAGACAGGGTTTCTCTATGTAGCCCTGGCTGTCCTTGCACTCACTCGGTAGGCCAGGTTGGCCTTGAATTCTCAGAGATCCTCCTGCCTCCCAAGTACTGGGATTAAAGGTGTGCACCACCACACCTTGCCAGTACATCTTTTTTTTTTTTTAAATAATTTAACTTTATTATATTTGCATTGGTATGGAAGTGTCAGACTCCCTGAAACCAGAATTACAGGCAGTTGTGAGCTGCCATGTGGATGCTGGGAATTGAACCTGTATCTTCTGGAAGAGCAGCCAATGCTCTTAACCTCTGAGCCATCTCTCCAGCCTGCCAGTACATCTTTTTAAAGATTTTTTTTTTAATTTTTCTGTTTTATTTTATGTGTGTGTTTTGCCTACAGGTGTGTATATGCCATGTGTATGCTTGGTGCCTTCGGAGGCCAGAGTCCTATGGAACTGGAGTTGTGAGACACCATGTTGATTGCTTGGAACCAAGCTTGGATCTTCTGCAAGGACAGCCAGTGCTCTTAACTGCTGAGATACTTCTCCAACCCAGATCAGCAGGACAGAAATTTTTTGTTTGCTTGTTTGTTTTGTTTTTGTTTTTTGAGACCGGGTTTCTCTATGTAACCTTGGCTGTCCTGGCACTCACCAGGTTGGCCTTAAACTCTCAGAGATTCTCCTGCCTCTGCCTCCCTAGTGCTGGGATCAAAGGTGTGTGCCACCACATCCAACATAAGATGGCAGTTCTTAAACTTTGCTCTAGTACTAAAGATGGAATATAGCCCTTTCCCATGCCATAAAGGCACTCTGCCCCTGAGCTGTGCCTCCAGCCCTTTACTTTTTTTTTTTTTTTTTTTTTTTTTTTTTTTTGCCATGAAGGCTGGACATTAGGTGTGACAGCTCAAGACTGCCATCCTACACTTGACAAGCTAAGGGAGGAGAATTGTCATTGGTTTTAGGACAACCTGGGCTATACAGTAATTTCCAGGCTAGACTCATCTAAAGTCAGACGCAGTCTTAAACAAACAACAGCAAGAAGAAAAAGTTATGTTGGGTGGTGGTGGCAGTGGCACATGCCTTTAATTCCAGCCTTCATGATGATAAAATCAGAAGATATGTAATTTGCTCTGATGGGGATGGCACTGTTGGGGGTGGGGGATGAAAGGGAGAGACAGAATAGTTCATCTTGATTTGATTTCTAGACTCACTAAGAAAATGTTTCCCTAAGAAAACAAACTTTTGGACATGTGGGAATATCTAGATTACTTAATTGGCTGGGAAGACTCACCCTGGATCTGGTTTTATCAGGTATTTTGCCAGAGCTGCCAGACAAGCAGCTAGTGCATTGTGTGGGAGTGTTCAGTGGGCATTGACCACCTCACAGAGCATGCAAAGCACACACTGTATCCAGGGCTGCGTTCATTGGTTAGTCAGTATTGTTATTTATTAGAGGAGGTGTATGTGTGCCTTGATGAGAGTATGGGGGTCAGAGGGCAACCTAAAGGCCATCAGGCTTGGTGCCTTTTCCTTCTTGGTCACCATCTTGGTTTTTAATTTTATTTCATTATTTAAAAAAATCGCTGGGTGGTGGTGGGACATGACTTTAATTCCAGCACTTAGGAGGCAGAGGCAGGTAGATCTATGAGTTAAAGGCCAGCCTGGTCTACAGAGAAAGTTCCAGAAGAGCCAGGGCTACACAA